CCTCTTGCCACAGGAAAGGGGCCGAGGATGTCAACTCCCCATTGTTCAAACGGGGCCGAACAGTTAATGTTGGTGAGGTCTTCGGCTGGTGAGTGGATAATATTACCAAACCTCTGGCACCTATCACATCTCTTAACATATTCTGAGGCATCTTTTTTCATAGCTGGCCAGTAGTGTCCATATCGTACGAGTTTAAAGGCCAAGGCCCTGGCTCCTTGATGATTCCCGCACACACCTTCGTGAACTTCAGCAAGGGCCTGGGATGATTCTGATGGCCTGAGACACCTTAGGTACGGAAGAGTAATACTTCTGCGGAAAAGGACACCGCTGATCATGCAGTACCTAGGAGCTCGGGCTCTGATGCTTCTAGCCAACCTGGCATCGCTTGGTAGATTTCCACTTGTGATGAATTCTATGATTGGGTCCATTCAGGATGGTTCGTTGTCAATGTCCATGATGTCGAGGATTTGACTGATGCTGGGTTCTGTGATGATTTTAATGTGGACCGTTCTGTCAAGGCCGTCTACCCCCATGAACACAAGCCTGGACAATGCGTCGGCTTTTCCGTTGTCCTTTCGAGCAATTTTTGTAATTTCACAGCTCTTGAATTTTCGTTGAAGATCCTGAACCTTCATACAGTACAAACTCATTTTCTCTTCTTTCCTTTCAAATGATCCTTCAATCTGTCCGACCACTAGCTGCGAATCGCTGAATATCTTTACGAACTCGAGCTCTAGGCAAAGGGCTAGCTCAAGAGCAATAACGACGGCCTCATACTCGGCCTCGTTGTTGGTTGCTTCAAACTCGAACCTGAGAGCGCATTGGATCTCTGTTTGTTTGTCAGGGCTGATGATGATGACCCCTGCGCCTGAGCCCGAGGAGTTCGATGCTCCATCCACAAATATTTGCCAAGTGTCCGAATTAGTGCTCATGCTCGAGCTATCACCTGGCCCCCGAGGCCTGGGGGTTAGTTCTGCAATGAAGTCGGCTAGAGCTTGGGCTTTGATAGATGGGCGTGGTTTGAATTCTATGTCAAATTCCCCAAGCTCGATTGCCCATTTCATCAGTCTTCCTGATACGTCCGGCTTCTGAAATATATGCCTAAGTGGTTGATTAGTGAGCACCACAATAGGGTAAGACTGAAAATACTGCCGGAGTTTCCTTGCTGCTATAACCAAGGCCAGGGCAAGTTGTTCTGCCAAAGTATACTTGGTTTCCGCGTCCAGTAGGACCTTGCTTACATAGTAGATAGGCTGTTGGACTTTGTTAATCTCTTTCACCAAGACCCCGCTGACAGCGTTTTGAGATACGGCCAAGTAAAGAAATAAGGTGTCACTAGGCTCAGGCCTAGTGAGAATTGGGGGAGATGCCAATGTCTGCTTGAGCTCCTGGAAAGCTTTCTCACAGTCTTCACTCCAATCAAAGCCTTGGTTTCCCCTGAGGACTTTGAAGAAGGGATAGCACCTGTCCGATGCTCGGGACATGAACCTGTTCAAGGCTGCTATCCTACCAGTCAACCTCTGTACCTCTTTCTTGTTCCTTGGTGATTCCATAGATGCCAAGGCTTGTATTTTGTCAGGGTTGGCCTCTATCCCCCGATGAGTGATCATAAAGCCCAAGAACTTGCCCGAGGTAACGCCGAATGCACATTTCGCGGGGTTCAACTTCATTCCGTACTTTCGCAAGGTGTTGAACACTTCTTCAAGATCTGAAATATGTTGGTCCACCTATTTGCTCTTGACCACCATGTCATCAATGTACGCCTCCACATTCCTTCCAATCAAGTTAGCAAAGACTTTGTTGATGAGTCTTTGGTATGTTGCCCCTGCATTCTTCAAACCGAAAGGCATGACCTTATAACAGTATATGGCGGAATCGGCCATGAATGATGTCTTTTCTTGATCTTCTTCGGCCATGAGGATTTGATGATAACCTGAAAATGCATCCAAAAAGCTGTATAGCTTATGTCCAAACGTGCTATCCACCAAATTGTCAATCCGCGGTAGGGGATAACTGTCCTTTGGACATGCTTTGTTAAGATCTGTGAAGTCAATGCAGACCCTCCACTTACCATTGGCCTTCTTTACTAAAACAACATTGGCAAGCCAATCGGGATATTGGACCTCCCGAATGAATTGAGCGCTGACGAGTTTGTTAATTTCTTCGCGAATGACCTCCCGTCGTTCTAGGGCAAACTGCCTTTTCCTCTGCTTTACTGGTCTGGCCCCTGGGCTAATGTTAGGCCTATGGACTGCAATTTTAGGGTCTATCCCTGACATATCCTCAACCTTCCAGGCAAAAACGTCAATGTTGCGAGATAAGCAACTAACAAGTTCTGTCTTCAGGGTGACGTCAAGATCCCGACCAATCGTTACCTTCTTATTATGCTCGAGCTCAATTTCCATCAATTCTTCGATAGGAGCAAGTCTGACTTGTTGCCCATCCTCGGGATCCATCCTCGAGATTTGCATGACGTCGTTATTTATTTCCCGAACACTGGCAACATAGCATTGTCTGGCAGCTGTCTGGTCTCCACGGACAACCCCAACGCCATTACCCGTTGGAAATTTCATGGCTAGGTGGAAGGTGGACACAATGGCTTTAATCTTGTTCAGGAGTGGTCTTCCCAGAATTGCGTTATAGGCCATTAAGACACGTACCACTTGAAAAGATGTCAGCTCCGTAACCTGTTTCTGGTCAGAACCCAAAGTTAGTGGAAGCTCAACTACACCCTCTGGAGTGATGACTCCTCCACCGAACCCCTGGAGAGGAGTTTTAACCGCTTTGAGCTGGTGAGATGAGATTCCCATTTTGGCAAAAGCTTCTTGTGAAAGTATATTGGCCGCACTCCCGTT